AGATGAAAGGAGAATCAGAGATGTTTTTAAAAAAAATATTTGTATGTTGCTCAAAACTTTGAACTCGACAGCACCTTGTGCCCTGAAACACAAAATAGCTCAACGGTATTTGGGAGAAAATATAGTGTAACAAAAAAATTTGTTTCAACTTGATTACATTTATTCAGAGTATTTACTGTCAATGATTAGTATCGTTTAAATATTTTGTGTATAAATAGAGCAAACTGTAGCTACAAAGCCAAAATGGTTGCTGATGTTACTACCCTCTGCTAGCTTGTTACATTTTTTCCTCCATAATGACCTAATTTCAATTAAAAGATGTACAATAACAAAGAGGTTAACCAACAGGGAAATAAATAGGCAATCTATCAAAATCAATCTAAACTGCATAAATTGCACTAGAGACATAAGCTAATAGGCTAAAAATTCGCCTATGCTAGTTGCCGTTAGCTGGAGGTTAGCTGGAATTTTTAATTTAGCAGCAGAGCAGCACAGTGCCACGGTGGTTAATACTGTTGCCTTACAGCAAGAAGCTCCTGAATTTAATTCCACCATCAGGCCTGAGCTGTTTTATGTGGACTTTGCATGTGTTTGCGTGGGTTTTCTCCTGGTACAGTCCAAAAGACATGCAGTAAGTGGGGTTAGGTTAGCTGGTGATTCTAAATTGCCCGTAGGTGTGAATGTGAGTGCAAATGGTTGTCTGCCTCTCTGTGTTAGCCCTGCGACAGACTGGTGACCTGTTCAGGGTGTACCCTGCCTCTCGCCCTATGGTAGCGATATGATAGGCTCCAGCCCCCCCGCAGATAATTTAGCAGCTGTTCTAAGGTTGTGAAATTGAAATTGACCTGTGATGTCAGTGAAACGTTTTTGTCCAGAGAACCTACGCTCACTGGATATTTTCTCTTATACCATCCTCTTTAAACCCTGAGATGGTTGTGTGGGAATAGTCAGAGCGGCCAGCACCAACAACCAACTCGCTTAAATCACCTTTCATCCCCTGAACATTTCTGATACACAGTGTGAACTTCAGCAGATCTTATTTACCGTTTTTACAAGCCTAAATGAATTGAGTTTCTGCCATGAAGATATAATAGTGTATTAAATAAAGTTATAAATTACTTTCTGACTTTTGACCCAGTGCTGACTGTGAATTTAATTCAGTTTTTATGTACTCTTTTGTTTAGCTTCTTTGCGGCCCCATATCTTTTATCTTGGCCTGTGTTTGTCCTTAATGTTTGGTTTCACTGCATAGCTCTTTGAACAGTCTCGTTGTTGGTTTTTAAAGTGCTTTTAAAGAAAGTGGTATGTTTTGTATTAATGTGTAATAAAACACTTACTTGCCTAGACTGAACTAAATAATGCATTAAACTTCAATATTGCTGTCCTATTTCTATTTTAATCCCCAGCCAATTTAAATATAATGCAATATTTAGAGCTGGCATAATCAGCATTACTAAGCTAGTTAGGTGAACGTTTTTTTTCTACATCATAAGAAAATTTATCTGCCATAAGGGGGACTTCCAGGGTGTTTTTTAATAGTATGGCACAGGGGGAGACCAAGAACAAAACAGGTGGTGACAGGAAATTACAGTATGTATACAAAAGAAAATTCCCATAAAAAAACCACTGAGCATAATTTTCAGGCTCATGCTCAGCCTCCTGTCCTACTACAGATTTATTACAGGCAGGGTTTGCACATAATTGTGCGTCGGATAGCTGTTTTGTGAAATTGAAAACATTTCTCTAGTCAGAAAGGCACATTTTAAAAACATCAGTGCAATTTCCATTGAGGCAAGCAAGGCACTTGCCTAGTGAAATCTAAAAGTAGACAATTTTACCACTGTGAACATGTTCTCTCTCCTTTGTTCTCAAACATTGTTCTGTTATAGTGCTTATTGGGTGTTTTTCCTGTCACCTTGTGGCTGCTGTTGCCTGTGGTCTCTGGAAGCAGGATTGACTCTGCTTGACATCCAACAACAGAAATCTTAGGTTAGTGTCCGAGTCCTGTTAAAAAAGGCTTGAGCTATTCAAGCTGAGAGGCTTGTTTGCACATATGCATTGTGGATAAACCTCTTGTATTTGATTGGAAAGTGATGAGAGACCAGCATGCTAGCCAAGCTGCCACTAGCTGCTAGCCAAGCTGCCACTAGCTGCTTTCACTGTTCTGAGATCTGTTAGCATCTCTGCTTTGTGTGCAAACAGCATCATCATCTCAACAGATGAGTTTTCTCTTACTAACGACCTCGGTCAAAATGTGATGTAGAGAAGTTAGAGTGTGGCGCGAAATAAATTTTTATGAATTAATTGAGCACATTAGCAATGTCAGTTCCTGCCAATCATATTTCTAGTGGCTATTTTGGACATCGTTTCATAGAAAAAGCATAACTATATTAGCTAAAACAATCACAGGTTCCCACACGTTACTATGTTCTGGCCTTAAATGACAGATTCTATCATAACACACAAACACAAGAGTCATGTCAAACAATTGTTTATTACTAATTATGGTACAAATCAATGTGACAGACTTGAAGCTTTTTATTTTTATTTTTGTTTTTTAGAAATACACAAAGTGCTGCTTAACTGACCAAACAGATATTGCTCTATAGATTACAGTTTTCAGTCTATATATAAAAACGAAAATAAAATAAATCAACCTCTGCAGGCTCTTCAGCTTTGGTTTCTAGTTCTTTGACTATGAACAAAATTTCAAGCCAGTTTGTCTGTGTTAGTAAAATTTCACAAACGTATTTAAGGGTGGTAAACAAATAATCCTAATTGAGCTAAGAGCAACATTACTGTAATCTCCTTTTCCCTCTATGTAGGTCTACAGAGCTGTGGAAACTGAGAGGTGAACGTATGGCACAAAAAAAAAAGAAATAATACTACAACAATATAAAAGAGATGAGTCACATGTGGCTCAGGAGACCACTTCACAAAAATAAAACAATCATGTGTCACGTAATAAAAAGAAAACCCACAAGCGTCTCCTTCCCATTGAAGGTGAACATGGACACACACAGTGCAGAGTTGTCATCTTTTTCATCTTTTCTACTGACCTGCGGATGCTTGTATGGCATTTTTATGATTCTCACAAGAACAGTACTGAGGTAAACCTTGGATGAACTAATGTACAATTCTACTCTTCAATCCTTTTCTTCTCAGATTTTAAAGATTGTCAACATCATGAATCTATTTCTCTGTACAATGTGCATAACTATAGAGCTTTGGTCCAGCATTGAAAAGTTGAGCAAAGGCATGACTCCTTTCTGTGTCGTCCTTTATTTTTTTTGTTTTGGTTACAGCTTTTATTGTTAAGCGTCACAACGGATCCACTGCTGCTTTCTAACATCTGTGCCGAGGTTTATTTCTTGGCCAAAGGTTTGCCTGAAGTTAAGTGTTTTTTCTTCTTCTAGAAGCAAAATAAAAATGCACAAAATCTGTAAGTGTGAATGCATCGAAAAGAAAAACAAAACAAATATCTGTGAAAAGAAGTACAGCAGGAGCTGCTGTGGATGTGCAGATGAAAATTTAGTGAAATTCTCCACAGTCTGCGATTGCCTTTTCTGCCTTTTCAAGACAACCTCAGTGATTTCTTTAAAAACACAGACATGTAAAGCTTTTTCAAGTGTTTTTCTACCATTTACAGTGGGTGTGTGTTTTCCAGGCAGCGCAGAAGAACCTGGCAGTTCACAAAAAGGAGTGAAAAACTGAGATAACCAATGTGACATGAAAGGACATATATCGAGCAGACACATGATTCTGAATAAATTGCATCAAATTTCACCTCACTTCAAATTAAGTTCACTCACTCTGACATGTGACACTTATTCTCAGCATTCACCAATTTTTTTTTCATATGAGGGTTTTTGCAGGAGCCAAATATTTGCAGTGACGGTTTAAGAGGGTTTTCTTTCTCTTTTCTTTTTTCCCCCCTGGATTATTGACGTTTCTGACAAAGTAAGAGCGCGAAGGAATGGAGTGTGAATTACTCAAAAAATCAGTGGACTGAAATTGAACACTTCAAGTTAACCTCTTAAATTAAAAGGTGTAAGATAAAGGATGGTGTATTTTTTGATTTTATGAGCATGACATTGACTTAGTTGAAAGGAATGCAAAATACAGTGGTAAAAGAGCAATTTATCTTTGCAAAAGAACACACTGATGTTTGGTCAGTGGCAACAAAAAATGCTTCAACCACACGTTTGGCTCATTTCATGTAAAATAATTATGAAAATTCCGATTTTTAATGTTAATTTTGGCCTTCCTGGTGAAATTCATATACACTATCTTATCATGTGGTGCGATTTGAAGCATGCAGTAGCAAATCGGCTCAAAAAGAAAATACATTTTCATCACGGCAGACACTTTTTGGAGCTGTTTGACATGACAGTTTTGACTCTTTTTTTGTTGTTGTTTCGTTCAACTTGACCCACAGAATAAAACACTTTAGAAAAAGGGGAGAGAAAGTCGTGGGAACAGATAAATAAAAAGGTAAAATTTTCCCCCAGTCCTTGAGCTGAAGTTGTGTGTGTTCTTTGGCTATCAGGCTTTGGCAATAGAATGACACAGTAGCTCGAAACAAAGCTGCAGTAGACTTGACAGACACCGAAACCCCTCCTCCTCCTCATCATCATCGTCATAGTTATCATGTGACAGTCCATAGTTTCTTAAGTCCATCCTTCGAATCCATCTCATTAACTTATTAATAAATACCTGTAAAAGTTGTACAAAGTTACACCGTGACTGAAAATATTTGCAGATGAAACACAAGTCGGAGGCAAACAACATTATTATGCAATTGTTTAACAGCAACGGTTAAATTTTTTTTATGTCCAAAAAGAGATTTTTTTTTTTTTAATCAGCGTGATTTCAATTTGAAGACAGCATTTTTCTTTTTTCCCTTTTTTAAGTATTTACATACAAACAATGAAGAAAAAAGTAAGCGAGACAAAGATAAAATGTATACTCAACCTCACAGATATAGCTTAGATTCTGCCAGTACAAATGTAAAAATTTAGAGCACATTTACATTACAAAATTATTCAGATGCAACAGACTTTGGTAAATAGTGTTTCGATTTGGTATGATCTCTCTACTAAATCCCTCCTGGTGGGAACCAAAATTTGGGCGACAGTCTGGTCTGTAAGGCCAGAATCTAAAAACTCTTTGAAACAGCACACCGTATGTTTTTTACATAATTCTCAGATATTAATCTCTTTTTTCATGTTTTTGGTTTCGCCAAGGTAATTTACATAATTGTGGTAATCACACTGACAACACATAGTTTTTCGTTTGCAAACTCATGACTGTCCATCCGGGTGACTTGGGCAACATTTTTGTCAGTTCTCATTTCGAGAGGAGTTCATCCACCTTTTGTTGTTTTTAATGGCTGCCACTTTTCCACTCCACTGTTTGGTCAGAGAGCTCGTTCATTTCGGGAGCTCCTCTAGAGAATCAGTGAGAGGGTCCATTGGTGCGGCAGCGCCGAGGTCGGGCTGTTTCAAACGCTTTATTGTGTTTTTCAAGGCTTGCCTCTTGTTGCAGAACCAGACACGCACCACCTCCCTGTCATAGTTCAGTTTCTCCGCTATTTCCGTCATTTCCTGTCCGGAGGGGTGCGTGTTCTTCTCAAAGTGGCTGTTGAGGATCTCGAGCGCCTGTGGGGTGAAAGAGGTCCTCCGCTTGCGTTTTTTCGAAGGTTCGCTGCCGATAAACTCAGTCAGGTTCTGCATGCCGGATCGGTGGCGGGCTTCAGCCTCGGCCATCCAGCGCTCCAGAACGGGCTTAATCTTCTGGGCGCTTTTAGGGGTGATGTCCAACTTCTCAAACCTGGCAGGATATAAAAGGCCAGGGTTCAGTTTGCCTGTAAGACTGTTACCTATAGTGTTCTCTTGGGCTTCCTGTGGTAGGAAAAAGTGGCTTCTCAGGATGGTGTGTCTGGGGAGAATTGAGAAAAAACAATCTTACTTAGGTGCCCTGCCAGAACAAGGGATAAGCTGCCTGCCTTTAAGTCTCCTCAACCAGAATGCCACAGGGACTGAGACTAACATCCAGGTGAACAAACTCTGCATCCTGCACCTGGACACACCTGAGCTGCAGCAGCTCGAGGCGATGCTTTGCCAGTGATGTGTTAATTTTCTGGACGAGGCTCTGGTTCTCTGTCCCAAACTGGCAATAGTGGAACAAGGAGATATTGCCAATGGCTAGCAATCGAAATATTTGCTCTTTTAAATATTTCTCATGAACCAAAATCACAAAAATCTTCTGCTTAGGTGAAATAAACCCCCACCCCACCTTCCCCCCAAAAATCCACTTATGCATGCAGTTAAATATGGCACCATCATTTATTTACAAAAAGAGCTTGAATTATTCATCAAAATGTACATTTAATACATTTTTAACCTTTCTTTCATCTTCTAACAACCTCTCATTTTATATTTAATAAGAATACATTTACAAGTCCTGCAACTTTACTCATAATTCAGCCATTTCTCTGCATTTCTCAAGTCACAGGAAGTAAGACGAGAGGAAGGCAGAGTTTTAAAAAGCAATGCTAGCTGGCAGCTCAGCGACTGTCGGGTGCAGTTTGGACATGATATGAAGTCTGAATTAGATGATGTTTACTAAGAATGGAAGAACAACTATTTAGGATTCAACATCATGTCATTTTGTTCAGGAGTTTGAATGGCAACAGCCCAAATATCAGTGTGTTCACTGCTTTTTTCCTTGTATGGAACTGAATAACAACAGTGCAGTTTGAGGTAAGTATTTGATAAGAAAGACATGACAGAGTTTGGAAAATCTGTTAATAAACTAACAACACATTTGCCTTTTTATTAAAGACACTAGTACTTTAACAAGTTTTTGAAAGAAATATCCATGACTGTGGACTTTGCGAGCCTTACGACAGTTTGTGTTCTGTAATCATTACAAAGTTGATCGTACGAAAATGTACATATTTCTAATAAAAGAAACCACAAACCGGGCAGCTAATATTTGCCGAAGATATTATTTGGACATAAAAACTTGATCAACAAAGCTGAAGTGACAATGTTTTGTGGCTATTTGTCACGTTGACAAAAAAACATGAGAAGAAACGGCAGACGCTGCAGTTTTAATAAGTTTCCAACAAGTGTCCAATTACAGTACACCGCTATGAGCAGTTCCTTGCACTAGTGATATTAGCATGGTAATTTCCATTTATTTCTTCAAAGTATGTCATAATTTTTTTAATAGCAGGTTATGGAAAGTGGCAGAAATTTAGATAGTGAGATGAGACATAACGACACATGATTTGTTTCTAATAACAGTTACTCTTAAAGGCCTTATTCCCAAACATTATGGGAACATGACAGGGACACAAGTGTTATTTTCAAATGTTTTTTAGTCTAAAAACCTACAAAGGTTAATTGTACCAAAAAAGTTGTAGTGCGGTTTTGTGGCTATTTCTCATTTTGACAAGAAAGAAAGTCACGGACACGACACTTTCACCATGTTTCCAAATGCATGTCCATTTAAAGTAGTCCAGTATCAGCAGTTTTTATTTAAGGAGAAAATCAGGATGTTTAATTACAATATTTTTATTTCTCTGGTCCAGGAAAATAAAAATCTTTATGACTTTTCTACCTCTTTCCATTATTCTTTTCATGAGCACTGGTGATTTGAGCATTCTCTGGATTATCTCAGGATTTTTGCTTTTATTTGATAGCAGATTACAGAAAGCAGCAAAGATTTAGGTAGCAAGATGAAACACACCAAAATTTAGTCTCAAACCAGAGATGCTGTGGTTATGGTTTTAGTTAACCTTAAATTTAACTACATACCCAATAAATAAGGTCTACAGATGATTTGGTACTAACAACATTAACTCTTAAAAGCATCACTTCCAAACATTAATGGATAAATGGGGACAGAAAGTGTTGGTTTCAAATGTTTTTCAGTGAAATAACTCTAGAAAGAAAGCTACACTGAAACACTGCTCTCTGTGGAGCAAACAATGCAAAAAGAGACGGTTTTTAATAGCGAGGGAAACAGAGGCCCAGATGCCCATGCATGCATGAACTTTCTCTGTTTCTACACCTCGTTGGTGCATTCCTCTTTGTCGACAGGCGGTATTATTTATAACCCCGTCCTCCTCCTAAACACAGGAAAAAGAGGAGGGCTCCATACTGAGGGGAATACATTAGTAAATATGAAGAGTCACCAGAGACAGGACATTTCATGGATCAACAGGAACCGCGGATACTAAAATGAGTTGAGAGCTGCTCAGCTGGGGTATGCACTCCCCTCCTCTAGTGCATCAGCACGAGGGAGCGAGCCTCTCTGGCTCTTCTTAAAAGTACCTAAGGAGCTCTGCTTAGACATGCTGCATGTTTGGACTGAGTTACAGTTTGCTGCAGGGTTTACATTCAATACCCACAGAGAGCTATCTGAGTGGGACATACATACAATCAAGCTCGCCTCACTCTACTTCATTTTACGTCAGGTTTATTACAAGTCCAGACTTTGTGTTCTTGTTTCCTTTTAAACTCTAAATGCAAAATTGTTGCAAAATGATGTATCTTGACAGTTACCATCATAATTATTCAAAGACTAACACTGTTCATGTTGCTCGGCTTGTTTAGATTGATTTAGATTGTGTCGTTGTTAAGGCTGCATTATGTTGATGTTAAAATGTTTGGCTACGTTTGTTGAACCATTACGGATATCTGAATTTAGTTTATAGCTCTCATATGAGCCATATAAAACTATATATATGACTGGTGTTCTTCTTTCCTAAGCTTGTTATTTTTATTAACTGTTTGTTCATATCTGGATAAAAAATATGTTTAAACCATCAAATATTTTAAACCTGAGCTCAGCAGTTTGAAACAATTCAAAATATCCATCTTAAACCCTGTAATAAAAACAAAAGATAGCGATTTTATTTACTTTACGTTTTCATTTAGCGTATTTTCCCAAAAGGGGCCACTCAGGCACATCCCTGGCTTGATGTTACCCTCATGTAAAGCCTGTGCCTGTTTAGATAAACTAATAAAGTGCCTGGAAACATTGTGAGCAATGAAAGCAGACAAGATGGAAGCATCTGTCAGTGTCTGTTCACTGTCTACGTCGGGAGCCGCAGCCCCAGAGCTACTGTGACGTCCCGTTTCCTCCTCAAACTTCATGTCTATGTTGATGTTAACTAAACTAAAGCATGTGAAGTTAGCCCCACTACTTAAAACATCAGGACATCATGTCCAGTGTCATACAAACAACAAAAAAATTGTCTTAACGGCATGAATAACAGCCCACAGAGTGTTTATTTTTGAAGCTAATGGCTTTTAATGTGTGTTATAAATATTTGAATTATGTCTGGCTGTAAATATTTCATGTGTGATTTGACGACTTTAAACATTAGTGCGGGCCTCATAAGAACCCCCCGCTCCTGTAGTGTTTCACATTTTATCGGCTGTTTGATGTTGATGTGATGAAATTTTTAAAGGTGCGTGGCAGTGCCGTGTCACATAAACAGTACAGGTCATCAGCAAATGCACATGCACTTTGAAGGGACATTAAATTTAATACAGAAACAAGATTAGGGACTTTTATTGAAAGAGATGGATGCAAAACAAGAGAAGATTCGATTTGAGGAAAACAAAACCCAGTTAGCGTTAACTTCCATATCTAATCTGGACACTTAAAATACTTTTGTTTTCTATTTTACACCGTTTAGTTCTCTTTTAAAAGCAATATTTGGACACCATGTGGCCCAATTATTCTGTCTCGAAATGGAAACGTGGCTCATTTGGTATCTGCATGCAAAACGTTAGTCAAGTGGAACAACAGGAGGAATGAAACACTGATTGTCTGATAGTCTCATGAATGTATAATGTCCCATTTATGACTAAACTGTCCTCGTGGAAGCAGTAAGACACGGCAGTCTTATTAATACATCATCGCCGTCAAGCTCCCTCATGTTCAGCCAGAGCGAACAGCACCGGGCCTTAGTAATTATTAAATGCTTTAAGTGCTCCGTGTAATACTTGTGTATGTATTTTGCATAAGTGACGGCCAGCTGTCATGTCAGGGGAAGGAGTTTAAGTAGAGACACGAGAGCTTCGTTTGTCAGCCAATTATGTATTTTAATATGTTAACGATGCCTGTTAAAACACGGATGAGAGCACCCGACAGCTCATTGCAGCTGCGCTGCTTTCACTGATTAGAAATACAGGTAGACAATAGTAGTCGAGTTGTTTTTATTTTTTCCCCCTGCGTTTGTCCTTACCTGCAGATGGCAGACTGGCTGTAAGCCGGCCCCTCGGCTGCGCTGAGCGCCTGGCCCACCTGAGTCTGTGTCAGGCCCAGGGACAGCCGGCGGATCTTGAATGCTTTGGCAAATTCACGAATCTCCTCCAGGTTGACCCCGTCCACCTCGCTGGGGGCGGTTTGCGGGTCTACAATACAACACACACATCTCATTTTATTAGCCCTCTGCTCACCTTATTTTTCAGAGTGAATGAGGCAAACATCCAACCATATGCGATCATGATGCCTCTAAACAACTTTAAAAAAAAATAGTCCTGCTCTGGGTCAGAACTTATTATTTCTCTCTACACATATCTGAGAAATGTTTTGAAGAATAAACTCATCTGAGGTTTGAATACAGGCGTGTTGTGGCTTCGGCTTTGGCAAGTGTAAATCTTTAATCTCACATATAAAAGCATATGGACAAAAAACAGACGACACATGGCTTGTTAATTCAAAGGAAAGACAGATAGGTGCTGTGCTACTATAGCTCTCTGTATGAATACACATATATTTTGAAGCTGGCTTTCTCAGAAAAACATTAAAGAATGTATAAAGAAATTATTTCACCCATCTGACCCCCCAAGTCAACACAGTTCAAGCCTACAAAGCAGCGGCGAGCCTCGCTCACAAACGATACCCTGCTTTTACACAAAGAGAGGCTGTTTGCGAAGCTCCACATTTGAAAACTTCACTGAAGAATTTCTCCGCTAATAAAAAGTGATTTCACGTTGTACATCAATGTCAGGTGCCCTGGCATCCTGCTTACTAAAGCAAAGTTTGTGCCTCTGAATTATTCATCCTGGTCATTATCAATGAATTATTAAAGGAATCCTCCAAGCGTATTTAAGCAAAAATCTATGGGCCTGCCATCTCGCTGTGGCTCATAAGTGACGTGTAGCGTATGCGCCGTGCTCCATACGTGTGAACACACAGAGGACTCGCAGCTTCCTATCATCTTCACAGTGATGAGCATCCTCCCATCATTCCCACTGGAGCCTATTTGCGTAGCGGTTTGAAAGACTAGCGGCAGCCGGATCCATATTTTTCTTTACCCAAACACGATTTAAGATTAAAGACCTTCTCATTTACCTCGCAATAATGAGAGGCCTGACAAAAACAGACAGATTAGTGGACAAAAGGCTCAGTTTTAAAAGCACTGAAACAAAGAAAAGGAGGCTGACTTTTCTTTACAACAGTAATACACTTTTTACTCTTAATAATTACGACAGGACAAAAACAAGTGAAGCAATCAATGTATCTGCTTGAAAGGAAAATTAGGGAAGAAAATGCTGCCTTCATAAATTACAGGCTAGACTCGTGCTATTATGTGCCAATGTTTGTCTTTCAGTTTAGCAGAAAAATACTTCTTTTATGCTTTTATTTTTACTTGAAGTGCTAATAACTGATGATGAAGTTTGTAGTGTAGAAATCTGGAAAACATGACTCAGAAAAGTGCAAACACCAGGCAAACCTGATGATCAGACATCCTATTTATCCGAACACGTGATTTGATCCCACGGGCCTCTGCAATCGCAAAAAGGTTTAAGCTATTTAAGCATCTTTGTTCTGGAAGCAGCTGTATGGATATGATGTAAAAACAATGTTATTGTTGTTGCTTACGATGATGAATCTACAGTATCTGCTTAATAGTACTCTGATTAACTGTTTCTTGTTCACAAAACCCAATAATGTCTACTTCAAATTAGGAAGGTGATCAATGATCATTACTCCTCCAAATAGCTGTCTGATCGCAATATATGCATCCACACCTGCATTAGCTTAAATGACTCCTAACACTCTTCCAGATTATATTAAGGAGAGCACTTTTTTCTGCTTCAGTAGCTTAGCTGTCCTTCTCCACTCCAAATAAAAAAAATTAAAACAAACTCAATAAAAAATATTGCTGGCGTTAGTCCTTCTATTAACAGAAATCCTGAGGTTTTCAATCTGTTTCTGGCACTTTGTTTTTGGCCAGCGAATGCTTCTGTCGCTCTGATTCTGTCACGGGATTTTGCTTTGCTGTAAGTGATATTGAGAGGAAGTGATATGGCTCGCACTCAGCATAAAACATTAATTTCATTTACCATACAAGTGGCCCGCTATGATTTTTGTCCTCATAAGATATTTTCTGAGCTGCAAGTAAACATAAACTAAACACAAAGTCCACAACAAGTTGATCAATGGCGACTTTTTTTAAAATTAGATTCAGTGGCATTGTAGCTGCCTTTGAAATGAGTTTACATGGAGCTTAAGAGAATCGACTCTGACAAATGAAATTTATCTGAATAAAACAGAGTTTTTAAAGGCAATAGCTGCACGCTGACAGGCTGTGGACCAGTGATTTATAAGGCCCTGCCAAAGCCCACGCGCTGGCAGAATGAAACTTATGCTCATTTTACATAACAGACGCCAGTTTAGATTGTCTAATAAACCAAAGAAATGACAGTAAAGGAAAAAATAAAACAATCCTAGCAGGCAGGGATCAGTCAAAAGCTGTCTACACTGAGAGTAATGAAGATGTGAAGTAGCGATGCTAAAGGTTTGTTTATTAGAATTAGAAAAAAAGGAGAAACATGTAGTTAATGCAGCAACGCAGATTTTGTTTTTATTTTCTCTGGTTTTAATATATTTGTTTCTGAGATTTCTGTCATTGATGTTGCAGTATTGGGCAAAACATTTAAATTAACATCTCTTTCAGTGATTCTATTTATTTCTATTATATATATTTATTGTGTTGATATTAGATTGCAACAGTTTACAAGTTTGAGTTTGTGTCAGCTTATGTTGACTCCTGATCGTTAAATCTTTTTATTATTGGTTATTCATATATAAATCCAGCTGCTTTAAATTCCAACTAGAACACCAAATGTTTTAATCCGCAGCTTTAAATTTGGTTCTCAATTTTGGTTTCTGTGTTGGATTTCCTTGTTTTGGTTTGGTTTTGATTGTTTAAAAATGCTGCTTTAGATCAGTTTTCAGTAGTTGTGTGTTATTGCGACTGGTACACGCCCACTTTATGGTTTTGTTTGCCCTGTGTTTTTAGCCTATTGTTAGGTAGTTGTTTTTGATTTTACTGTCATAAAATGAAAACTCTACAATGTTTATAGGTATTATATGTGCATAAATGCTAAAAATGAGTCATGTTAGCCTGTTGTTAGGTGGTTCATAGGCTGTGTTGCTAGGCAATGTACTGCCATAGTATTGATGTATAGTATAGATGAGAACCTTCAGATGTACCTGTTTACCACATCAGGTTGCTTAGTTTGCAGACAGAGATTTTGTGTATTACAGTACGTTATGGTTGGTATTTCTTAAACTGCAAGTTCAGAGCATAGTCAAACTCTTATGGTTAACTTTTTTATATATAGTTCAATAATGGCACTATTCCCTGTTTTTAATCATATTTATGCATATTTAAGGTTGTTTTTTAGTTCTTGCCTTCGCTTAGATGCTGACTTCATTTTCTGTTTTTCTTTATTTCATTTTATCATTGTGACGTGCTTATCTTCTCTCAGTTTCACTAAATTCTGTCGACATCTAAATATATTATTTCTACTTTTATTTCCTTATAAATGGACTTAAATTGAGCAAAAAAGTTAAATAAACCTATAATAAATAAAGATTGTAGGTATAGAACGATGCAATAATGTAATGCAACCACACAAAGCATTTGATATAGACTTTTGTAGAGACCTTTGTCACAAAGTGCTGAGATGTGAACTAACACACGGAATGTTGTTACTTTTATTCTTTAAGAAAATAAGAGCATGCCTCAACTTGAAATAAAAACATCTCTGACAATTGGAGAAATCCGCAGTGTTATGTGGAATGAAACACCGGGGATAATGACAACACATTGCTCTTTCAGCGATCGACAACCTTCCACCTCGGCTGTATTGAATGACAGAAAAATATTTCCATGGCTACGTTCCGCTAGTTGTGTAATTCCTCTCGTTATAAATCACATTATAAAATGCTGTGAGCTGAGCTGTGTTGGACACTTACTGCTGACCAGCTGCCCCACGCTGAGAGCCGAGGAAGAGGAGGAGGTGGAGGAGGAAGAAGAGGCCTGGTGGAGAGGACTCTGTCTGTGGGGCATGTGGAGCAGGTTGGGCTGAGATGATGCGGGGCCTGTCTGACCCTGCTGAGCCTGAGGCAGCTGGACACAAACACACAGAGAGAGAGAGAGAGCTGACACGATATACTGACAGCATGTTTTACTCTCTGTGCACATCGTCACAATAATCAGAATTTACAGTAATCATGTCATTATGGTGATTGGGCCACAATATCAAATCTAATCAATTAATCAGCAGCTATTAAATTAGCCACTTAGAAGGTGAATATAATTAGATTTACCTTGTACCTGATGATTACTGCCTGCAGTATTTGCACTGACAGAGCAGACTATAGTGCCAATAGTCTGCTCAATAGACTAGAGCAGTAGTTTACCACTGTATTTGGCAGTGAGGGTCTAAAAGGAAGCTTGTTCAGCTCAGGCACTCCACTGTCTCTGTGAGCTTTATAATCGCCTATCTGCAGAAAAACAATTAAGAATCTTCTTCTGCTCTGTATCTTGATGCTAATAACGGCAGCCTGAATCCTAAATAAAAACATGTGGACACAGCAGTCCCCATATCAAACATAATTCATGATCTGCAGGCTACGTGCTCTGATGAAAAAAAAAAGAAACAGTGTATTTTCATGTTTTATGCACATTTGAATTGCTTTTACAAGATCAAGATGGTGTGTCTCCACTCTTAAAAGCTGTCTCCGCCATAAACTGGGCAGGCTTCTTCTTCTCCTTCTGTGCTATTAATTATTTTCTCTGTGGCATGTGTTTGTTTGGATGGTGGGGGGTGTCAACAGCAATGCACACACTGTCAGGACTGTTGACAGGCTCAGAGAATTATCTAGCTTCACTGGAAATATTCGAGACTGCAGGCTGTGACAACCGTAAATTATTCCCGCGGAACAATGTGTACATGCGGGGCTTTGAAGTGTAGACAAAAGCATAAACATTATTACAAATGCATTAATTCATTCAAGAGTATGATCTGCCGTTCTCGGGGGGGAGGGACCCATAATTAGGTGTCCGCCCGCTAAGAGTTCATCCATCCTGGACTGTAGAGGCCTTCAATGTGAACTTTTACCCTATAATTCAGCCCTGACATCATCATTATCAAGTCAATAACTTTTCACTGTCGGCGTGAATGCATCTGGTGCTGCACGCGTTCGCCGAAATTGGGAGGAGGTGTTTGCTCGAGTGTTCCTACTTACAGTGTGAACTCAAACAAAAAGGAAAAAACAGAGCTGGGGTTTTTTGTGTGTCTCTCTTTAAATAAAACAAAATATTTCATGTTCAGGTCAGAAAGGACAAATCGTAAGGATGGAGAGTGTGACTGAGGCAGGAGGAGGAGGGTGAGTGAAACGGAAAGCAGGTGGAAAACAGAGCGAGGAGTGTTTCAGTTTTAAGTGGGGTGATGAAAAGTGGTGTGTTTTTTTTTCTTATGTTGGGCTCTGCAGGGGTTTAGCAGTCTCGCTGAGACTGAAGCTGAAAGGTTGGTTGACAAGCACACACACACACACACACACACACACACACATGCATGCATTGTGAAAATTGTACCAGGAGCTACAATTTTCCAAGTGGAGTGATGCAAATGAGCATTATGAGTGTTGAAGCGGGAAAAATATGAGGTGTTTATCATAAAACAGAGCTGCCTTGGCTTTTGCTTTCATGAATAAACAGGCTAACTCTAGTTTGACTCCACTAGGTGTTGCTCATTCGACAGTTTTTAAAACACAGCTCGTGATCACTTGAGGAGTACGAGTTTAAGAATGTAATAAGCTGCTCTGCAAGCCTTCCTCCTTTTTATACGTGTGTGTGAGAGTGTGTTTGTACATGAGCATATATGTTACCTGCTGTCCAGGCTTGATTGGTGACAGCGTGATTCCCTGGGTGTTGATGACAGGCAGGATCTGATTGCCGATCACTGTGGCGATGATCTGGCCTTGAGCGTTGGTCAGAAGCTGAGGTGTAATTGGCTGTACCTGCAGTGCTGGGTTGCCACCCCCTGATTGGCTGGAGGGCCCTGCAGAGTTGGGCATCAGTGGGATTGTTCCAATTATCTACAAAGGGGGTAAGAGAGGAGACAAAATCAGCTGGGTGGTTTTAAAAAGTAGAAAGAGCGGAGAGGCTAAATGCTACTGGAGGTATCAGTTGTAATGATATCTACTGCTGTGAGTCTTTAGGCTTTTTTTATGTGTTTCTGATTGGAAATGAAGTTTAAACTGGTCATATCTCATGTTCTGTGGTTAATGAGAGCGCTCTGCTTTTGAGCTGGTCTGTTTGTGATTCGGGGAGGAAAAAACATGCAGAAGTGTCCACTGATCATCTGTCACTGAGGTGGTTTTACAGCCTAGAGCAAGTGAAGCCAAAGCAGACTGCTGGGAGCGCACTGCAAAGGTCAGTGCTGAATACCTGTGTGTGTGATGGTGCACACCACTGAGTGTATTATCCATCACCAGGCCAAGACTGGGATGATTGTGAGTGTGTGTGTGTGTGTGTGTTTGTGCTTAAGTGTCTTTGTCTGTCTCTGGTGAGAAGCAGTGAGGCTGCTGAGAGACAGAGACCCCCATTTCACCCACTCACACACACACCAGGCCAGGGAGGAAGAAGTGGAGAGAACAAGTAAGAAAAGAAACAATAAGAGGAGAGAAGAGGAGCAGCAGAGAGTGAGACAGGACCCCGTGTCTCTAATTCAACTCTCAGGGTCCCAGGGGTACTTCACCCCTCCTCCTCCCTCCCTCCATCCCCTGCTCTCCTCTCCTCTGTGGCTGTAATCAGGAAGGGCAGATCAAAGGGGGCAGCAGAGTGTCACTGCAACATTTTAGCTCTCAGAGCTGCCAGAGTGTGGCCAAGAGTGGCGCTTTAGGGGGGACTTAGCGCCTCTTCACCATGATGAAGGTTAATGTCATCTGGGGACTGGTTCTGGGCAGCTCCTGAGCAGCAGTCGCTCTGGCCCCCCCGCTGGCCGCCCTCCTCCACCAAGCCTCATTACACCAGAGAGCAGCTCAACACGGATGAGACGCCCATCATTCTAAATTCTGTTATTTGGCAACCGGGCAAAGAGCTACTTTTGCTAAGATTGCACTGTCTTGGACGCTTTCTTTTTATGTTTATATTTCAGTCTGAGCTTCTGCACCTCAGCCCAGAGCAAAGCAGAGGCACAGGTTTCTCTGGTCCCTAGCTCCTGTTTCCACCACCGCTAATGTGTTTTAGCGCACGGTCCGCCTCCCCTTTCCCCCTACTCCCGTCTCTTTGACATAATAGGGAGGGATCAGCGAGAGAAAGGTGGGCCGACAATCTGTAATTCATCCCTGCCACGGCTCATTTGCTTACGTTGCTTCGCATTAGGGGAGAGATAATTTATCTCTCTCTCCGCGCTGGCTTTACAAATTCCCTGTAATGCTCTTCTGCCACTTAGCATATTTTATTGCCCTGCCTGACGCTTGTGTCTCCTGAGTCCCACTGATCCCGCTTTGCATGCCACGGTGGCAGGGAACTTGTTCCGCTCAATTATTCATCGTCATTGGACTAAGTGGTTGTTCTATAAGCATAATAAAAGAGCAGGCGACTGACAGCTTAGCTCTCATCCCCGTCCCGCTATGCCATCCTTCACCATCTGCATATCTCAGGCAGATGTTTCGTGGCGCTGTCACAACTCTTCACTCAGGCTGGAAGGGCAGGGCAGGGATGTGACAGTGTAGTGAAGTACCTCGGTGTTAACTTATGGTCAGGGGGGAGGGCTTTGTTGTATAAGCTTATGGGAAGTCCTGAATCAACTAATCCTATTTATTTTTCATTTCTGAGCACTGAGCCTCAATGATTTTTTTATGACCACAATTAATCTTTTAGCAGTGAGTGTTGAGCAGAACGCTTTGGTCAAAGGCCATCATTTAACCGTAATGCAAGAGACACTTTGTTGTAGTAGAGGAAAAGGAACCTCTCTTTTTCCTTGTTTACCTTAAAAAACACGAGTCCCAAACAATTAGGTCAGTTTATGTGTGAGTGATCTCTGTCAGTCAAAGCAACCTTTGACTGACTGAATCATTATCACTCCTCAGGAAACACCTGGAAAATATGCACCTTTTCTGGCTTTCTCCTCAGACACAGTTGTTTTCGTTTCTTCAGTTCTCCTGCTTTTTTGCCTTTTGCAGGCTTGGTTATTGGAACAACTTTTTCCATATATAACAAAATGTGGGGATGGCATCGTGCAGACTGCAGGTAGCAAGCGTAAGTTAATTGGTTGTGAACAGAACTGAGTGGTGCACGTTTTACAAATTGAAAGCTACATTTTTCCAAAACATACTTCTACACACGAGTTAGTGAATGAGTGAATGACGTTATCTCTGGCAGTGAGCATAGAAGCCCCACCCACCAGCACTTCAGATCTTCTGTTTGTAAGGGACAGCCAATCAGAAGAAAGGCGGCTTAAAGAGCAGGGGGAGGGAGCTGAACTATGATTCAACCAAAGCTACTCTAGTAGTGAAGCTAGAAAATGTTTTCATGTGACAAACTAATTTATCTAGTTAACAGCACAGTTAAAGTCCTGTTTTTGAGTCTTTTTTTAGCAATTGCTAAAGCTATTATGATAATATATTTATATATGAAGCTACTCTGCTCATGTTTTCTGACTGTGTACTTCCAAACCTGCAGTCCCCTGAAGCAACCAGAAGTGAATTCTCTTACTCTACAGCTAGCCTGAATTTCATGGATAAATAAAATCATTTCCTATTTGAAAATGTCCAGCTGTCGGTTTCTTTCATCACACAACCATTTCATAAATACGCAGCCTTCAGGTACTCCTCCCATTCACTGCTAACTCCCTCTCCTCGCATGCCTTTCCGTTTTCTCGCCTTTATTTGGCTTCCCATGTTTGCTTCCCTTTCCAGTTCGTGGAATGACATGTGAGAAACGTGCCTCTATCCACCCAGCAGAACTCATTAAGATTATGCTGCTCTTGTTTCCGCAGAAATGCCATCTCATCTCTCCGGCCAGGGCAATCTGTGTCTTTAGCCATGGTGGCCAGGCAATATCTCTGCCCATTTTCTCTCCACCACTGTTCATGCAGTGAATTGAAACTCGGGAAGGAAAATGTTTGGGAAGTTTGGACTTGTGTCAACATACAAGTCTAAAGAAAGCTAGCGCTTACAGCAAATTAAAGCTTCAAACAGCAGACTAATAATGGTGCACCACAGAAGATATTTCCTGTTTCCTATCTGTCTCTATTCTATCACTATTTCCTGTATTCATATACAATTAACTCTATATAGTATTGTGGCTCAGTTTCCCCTGTTTTAACTAACTTTGCAGGTTAACAGCAAGTGCAACTCTTACCTGTTGCGTCAGCACATGTCGTGAAAGGTAGAAGATGCTGGGAGAGATGTGATGTTCATGCACAAAGCCAAGGAATCTGTCCTAACCATCAGGATCGTTTCAGGGATTTAAGTCAGGAAACAGCCCTTAATGTCCCCAGTGCTCAATGCAGTTTTAACTGCATTTTAAAACAGTGAGAAAAGAATTTGCACCGAAGAGAAGAGGTTCAAAAACGGCCAGAGATTTGTTTAAAAAGAAAAAAAAGATCTCAGGAGTGACAGTGACTTAATAATTGTGCCTTTTATCTGCAGCTGTTAATCACTGTTGCAGAGGCAGTGAGGATAAAAGAGCCTCATTGATTTCCCTTGGAGAATAAAAAAAGCTTGGGCCAATATAATTAAGATTTAAAAACTCCAAACATCCACCAGGTCTGACACTTCTCAAGGTTCTCAGAGTGCTTGCTTATGAAAAGGTCTTTTGGGAGAGTTGGCAGAGGAAGCGGCACAGAGGCACAATTTAAATTCAAGGAAAGGTAACTTTTTACTCATGTATTACAGACATGACACATAACTTGTCCCTAAATTCAGTTTAAGACACATCTTAAAGATAATAGCTGCTCTCTAGTAAAGACAAAATAAAGCCGCTGTGTGTGTTTGTTAGACCTCCAGCCTTGTTTGAGGTACGCATTAGCCTGTATAATATTTTCTGTGGTTGGGGGGAGGAGGGGCAGGACCTTCTGATAGGGCAGTGCATGTTTCAGAGCCCTCCGTCTGAATAATGCTGAGGAATAATGAGGTGGGGAGCAAAGGATGTAGCCTAAGGCTTTGACCGTCTCTGTGACCTGATTATGTCAGGGAGTGTCAGCCACCAAGACACTACAAAAGCACAGAGCATCCCGTCAAGTCCATATCCACAGTGATCTGTTCCCAGTGCTCCAGGCACCTTGTGAGCCAGGGAAGTCCATACTGTCTCATTAGCAACGTTTAGCATCAAGAGTTCGGACACACTTTACTATACGCAGTGAGGCGCGGTCGAACTGGTGGCTCTGAAATGCTCCTGCAGTCGGTTAATTTTAAAATCCAGCATGTTTTTGTGCTAAGAAATGCTTCAACATCAGCATACAGTGCAAGTGTGAAACAGCGATGAAACAGGGGTTAAAGTAAATAACACGATGTGGCACGAAAGGGCACGCGGTCCATACAATCTTCCTTTAATATGTGCTGTGTGCACCTGAGATAAGATGATTCATTAGATAAGGCCCTGCAATGACAAGCATCATCGTTCAAGCCTCTGGCTACTGATGGAACAATTCTGCAGCCACCCTGTGAATATGACAAGGTCAGCGTTTTGCTGCGCGTGAGGATAAAAGAAGGAAGGGCTTTGTTTATTCCCAAAATGCTTAACATGATGTGGGGCGGCTACTGGATTGTAGACAAACAACTTTAAGACTAGCTACTAGAAGTCTGCGTGGAAAGATCAGACGGTTTATTCTGAGCTGCACTTTTTTATACGTGATAGATGAACTCCCAGCATCTTCTAGAGCTCTCTGGAGTTTTTATTCAGCCCTATATTTAAGCTCGTTGCACTCACCTGTCCTTGTGCGTTGGTGACCAGCTGCCCGGTGGCCCCTTGCAGGTTTGACAGGGCGTTGCCAAACACCTGTGAGCCGGCGATGGATCCCATGGCTGCTGCTGCCGCTACCGCTGCCTGGCTGGCCAGAGGATTCATCTGGAGAGGGCGAAGACATTGTTTGATGGCACCAGTGCAGATGTTTACAGCACAATACAGATTCCTACAGATGCAGGTTTACAGGCGTCACACTTTTGTTTATTGTTTGTGGGGCCAGAATAGGCCAACTGCAGTGAGGGCTACACAGTCCATCATATAGTTCCCAGAGGTCTGTGCTCCTGGACCCAGTGGGAGGCTCGAGGGTAGGGAGGAGCAGCGAAAACAGGAGGGCGGCTGTGAATAAGTGGCCATTTTACCACTCTAAGTGCTTTCTCTGGCCCCCGGGGCTCCCCACGGGCCGAGCCGAGTTTTTCCACCCGCAGCAATGACCCAACAGCTTCCCGCTCTCACAATAGAGCCAGGCGGCGTGGCCATGCATCACTGTATCGTAAAACCGCTTCAATATGCTTCGACTCAGAAATCCTCTGACTCACTGTTACAGCTGAAGCAAAGGAGGGTTAAAATGACCGCCTTTGCCCTCGCTGTAATGGACTCATCTGGTCTGGCCTGTGGTTGTGAAAAGAGGCTCGGTGCATCAGGGAGAGGTTGTAGAGCTCTGCCACATTGCTGAGATTACCCATATAAATCAAGCTAACCACTTATTAGGGGGCTGAAAATGCACTGCTGATTTGGTTGTAGTGCAGCAGAGCAAAGTCTTATTAGGTTGAGTAAGTAGATCAAAGACCAAGAAGAGATAGGAGACCTCCCAATTACTCAACAGAATAGAGAAATAATAGAAACACTGCTTAAGAAGCAGGCTGCCCGCTCCCCGCTGCTAATGCTGGTCGGGTACATGCTTAAATTAAAAGCAGGGTTTATTTACAAGATTTAAAATACAGCGTGCTGCGACAAAAAGTCTCCCCAGAAACATCAACTTTTCCACACTTTCTCTGCAGCGAATTCAGCTCTGTTCATCTGAGATCACCCAGTCGCCATTCATCTTTTACCGTACCCCACCACCATATATATATTATTACACTTTTCGAAATCAAATGATGAAAAAATGCCACCGAGCGATCGATACTTTTTCATTGACAGTAAAGGTTAAGCACATTAAGAATGACACTGCATTTGTCTTATGAAATCATATTTCATGTTGGTGGCCTCAAATTGGCCGTGATTGATATTGCCTCCTCTCGTCTGAAAGTCATCCAGTTTTTCCTCGATAATCGCAAGATTGTCTTTTATGTGTCCAGCAGTTGTCCTTTGGATATCTGAACATCTCAAAACGCTGAAAAACTGCGCGCCTACTTTTAGCTGTATATATGTAGCATAAGAGAATTCAAGCTGAAATAAAGACTAACCTAAGCAGCACAGCTACAGCACATCGACTACAGGCAGGATTATCTGAGTTTACAGTGCTGCTACATTAAAGAGCATCAATGTACAGAAGCAACAATGGGAGATGCATGTACGTATCATATGGCAGCCAGTATTTCTTACACAATGTGTCATTTTTAGTATGTTTGAATCTCCATTATGTCCCCATTAGAAGATAAAAAACAAGAGTAAGACTTTACTCTTATATTTTCTCTAAAAGATGCATTTGCTTTTACTAAACTGCCCTTTGACCCACATCCTTGCTAAACACTGATAAATTATAATTCAAATTTCATGTGCACATTAATAATCTCAAGGGGCTGGAAGCATTTGGCAGTGTAAGCAATTAATTCGGTTTTATACGTGACTTCTTATCAGTGACATATTTAAAGGATTTTTCATGCAAAAATGTTTTAATTTTTTGCAGCGGTTTTAAGTAGAATCAATAAAACCAACATTATTGTTATTTAACCAGTTTTGTTAATTGGGTTTCATTTTGTCAGACAGTCATAAATAACAGGGAAACACAGTTTTCTTTCAAGTAACACAGACTCACTGCCTTTACTGCATACACACCGATTGTGCTTAGGTACAAAGTAGCCCCCCAGAGGCTCCTACATAACCCAGGAAAAACCTGATTTATAACGGTGACTGTACTGACAAATGGCATATCCTGATAAAAGTGTAAGTGGTTATATTACACATGGATTTTTTTTCTATGTACAGAAAACTTTGGCTCCCACTAAACAGGTTTTGCCTTTCCAGATGCAACTTTTAAGTGGGGTTTAATTTACTCAAGCTTATCCTCCGGAGGCCTGAGCTCTTGTTTGGGGTGCATTTATAATTTCCTCTAGCTATTTGGCATTAGTTGGACCTTATAAAGATAAAAACTGAGCATCAAATTTAAACAGACACAGATGGGGACAGTGGGTTTATTTTACAGCATAGCACAGCTCTGTCACCGTTGTTTAAAAACTGTATTTATTGATTAGAAGGAAGTATAAGAGGCAGAAAAGCCAAAATGTAATGTCCCCATAAGAGGATGAAGAGTCTCGATAGGATAAGATGAAATTTTATTAATTATATAGCCAAAAAAATAACTGTGCCGTATGGAGCCCAATTTTGTGTCGGGAAAAGCTTTGATTATACTTTTACCTTTATTATTATCATTATACAAAAGCAAAAATTGTAGAGAGATTCATAGCAAAAGTACCTTTATTGTGATGAAAAAATAACAGCAGTAATGCTTTCCTGGAAGACGGATAAGAAGGAGTCATCACCGCTGACTTCGTATACGCTCAAAGGCGAATGTGAATTGATGATTGTTGTGGAAAATCTTTGAGAATCAGTCGAGAATGTTTTGAAAAGTTGGTGACACATGAAAGCTGAAACAGCTCCACATCCTCCTCTGGCATGCTGCTCCCAGTAGTGCTTTCTTGGCTTTTAAAATGTCTTTTCAAAAACAAAAACAAAAAAAGAAAAGCAAAAAAAAGAGAAAAGAAACGGAGATCACAGGGCGTGATCTATTTGACCAGCTTTGTCTTTCACACAGAACGCACACAAAGCAGCATTATCGCCCACATTATCATCAGCAGCAAAGCCTAAAAACTGCTAATCCTGAAAAATACCACAAGTATGAAGGGACTTGTAGCGAGACTGAGAAACTGAGAGGCAGACGATCTCCTCCCCTCGTCTACCTGAAGAAGAAATAAAAGCTGCTCCGGCCGCTGTGGTAGCCCAGGTGAGACAGGCTGTGAATGTAAAATGCTGACTTGAGAGTTCTTTGAGCCGTTTGGGTGAAAACACAGCACTGAGGGCGCTGCGATTGTGAATGGGGACACAGAGAAGAGCCAACACGGTCAGTTAAACAGAGTTAAACAGAGGCTACAGATCAACACACAGATAATGTGATCTGCTCAGGCGAGCACGCCCAGAGTCTGCCTGAAAATCTGCTGCGCTCGGCGTCATTGTGTGAGTGATGGGTTGTTGGAGAAGCTTTCAGATTTATCTGAAATATTATCATTGAGCCTCATTCGATGATAGGCCTTTCAGATGCTATGTTATTCGGGTAAATCTAGGTGAAAAGAGAGCAGGCTTTATTGCCGCGTCTCTGGCACGGGATAATATGGATAGCAGTTGGAAGGAGAGCAAGGAATAAGGAGAGGCGAGGCTGTGTTCAACACCTAAACAGGTGATTTTCCGCCACGGTGACTCCTCTCAACACCTCGGCGGGAGGCACAAAATGACAGAGCTGGCCTAGCATTTGTACTGATTGCATGTGTTGGAAGAGATAAACAGTGATCATCCAGTTTGTAGAGCCTGCATGTTAACCATTGTGGTTTATTCTTTTCATTCGCTACGAAAAAGGGCGTCTGAGAAGATTTTTGGCAGATCGGGATGCTCCGGTTTAACGCAAGTGTTGAAATAAGTTCACGTCGGTGTGTTTATTTTAAAAAAAAAACAACTAACAGTTTTAAGGCAAAATTCAAGCCAGGAAATTCAAAGCCTCCATTATATCATGTGACAACATTTTGTCACCTTTAGCCCCCTCCAGCTGCTTCGCTCTCCTGGTTTAATATAGGCAAACTTGCAAGGATACACGGGGATAAACACACACAAAATAAATGTGTCTGGCGGGGAGGGAAAAAAAAGCCTGCAAATTGTTAAAAATGCATCTTTTTCGGTATGAAGGGGGGAGTCTTTAAACTCCGCCGGGCTCTCCGTCGCCTTGTTTGACCATGAGGGTCACCTGGTGCAGCAACCCGTGTAATCTCAGGAATAGAGGGAAAAATAGTGTCCCCGCAAACCGTGGAGAGACCCCTGAAAATAAAATCGTCTGACACGAACAACTGGAGTTTATTCTTGGTTTTTGCTCTTTTCATGTGGCCGTTTTAAACTTAATTGCTTTTCCCCCCCTTTTCGGGGCCTGCACTAGACAAAAAAAGAGCAAAGATAAATGGACAAGTGGTGGAGGTGCAAGCAAGAGGGGGGGGGGGGGGGGGGGGGGCAGATTTGTCTACGCTCAGGCTCGGGGATTTGTGCGAAGCGTATTTTCTGCTCATCTGTGAGTCAAGAAAAGAATCAAACATGCGTTTAACCTAACAGGGAAATTTCAAAGAGAATTGACCTGATGCTGAAAGTGGTTACATACAAACTTTTTACAGGTAGAAACAATCATCTACAAAAATATCGGAAAGTTTTACCCTCAATCATCCAGCCACAGCTGAATCAAAGTGGACCCAGCAGGGTAAATCATCAGTCAATACCACTATTGTTTCTGTATGAGGAGAATGTCCTTTATCTGGAGCAACATGGAAGCTTCCCTCGTCCGTCCTCGCCCCACATCTCTGTCTCCTCCCTGCTCTTTTCCCACTCCGGAGTGAATGTAATCAGCTGTGACATGAGAAAACACGTTCTGTGTCTGTCAGGACTCTGCAAGTCTTCCGCTGACAGTCCTCTGCTGACTCCCCTCCTCCCCCAAAAAAGCCTCTCGCCCACCTCCCTGTCTCCCCTTCCTCACATCCGCTGTGCTTATGAACATCAAAATGCCATTAGGCCCTCCAAAACACCTCTAGTCCCTTGGTTGGCGGGGGCCTCGCACCGTGGTTGTGCACTCTGAGCCCTCCCAGCGCCAAATATTGCTCACCACTGGGCCTCAGCTCCAGCCGTTGTGAAAAATA